AGAAAGAAGGTTTGAAAGAGTCAAACTCCAGATTTGAAATCTGAGCACTGAACAAAGGCTTGCTTTTGACAGATTGCTCTTTTGCCTTTTTGTTTGCAAGAAGAGCCGTTAGACCACTGGCACACACGTGGAAGTCCCTAACCAACAATTTTGTTTTGAAGATGTTGCATACATACCTAGTCGTTTGGGGATTTGGCATTTCCCACATCACCAGGCATTGAAATACATTAGAAGTATTAAGTTACCATTAAGTACAGAGTCCTGAAGTTTACTATTTCCATTGAATTTCAGAACACTAAAGAACACTTTAAAAAAAAAAAGAGAGGACAGCTGCAGACCTACTATTGACCCATGTACAGAAACACTCATTTTCCAGCCTGTTTGTAGTAGGAACAGATTTTAATTAGACCTGTTTGTTTTCTTAAGAGGAAGATCCCTATGCATGAGAACATGTTCTGTGGACAGAGGTGTTTCTGAGCCCAAACCCCCTGAGTGAAGGAACAGAGGAGTAGCACAAAGGGATCAGGCACCTGAAGGAAAGGTTAAATGAACTGTGCTCAGCAGGACGCTTGCTGAACATATGAAAGCAAACTGCTCTACAACTGTCTCAGGCTGAGAGCCTGCAGAAATGAAGCGAGCTCCCCCTTCTGCTCTGTTTTCTGCTTCCTATGATAAATGCTAAGGTATCTCCTGAATCAGGTAGGGCACAAGACAAAAGAGGAGAAGGTAACATCTGTCATGCAATAGCCTAACACACGGCTTGGGAACAGCTGGCTGTTAGGTTTCATTTCCTCCTCAGGAGGATGAAGCTTAAAGCTTTCTACCACCCAGGAGCATAGCCGAGCTCAGTCATTTGCTGCTGTGCCCCCAAGCTCCAAGACTACCCTGCAGGCTATTTGCACAGAAGGAACATTTCTGGGTTCACCTCCCTGCTCCAAAGGCCAGTGCTTGTGTTTTAAGCCACAGAACAGCAGCTCTGGGAGAAATGGGGCTATCCAGGACACTCTCCCCTTCCCAGGCAAGCATCTAGACTGAGGGGCTACTAAATCGCCCTCATGCTCTTCTCAAGAGGGGAGGGGGAAAAAAATAAATAAAAAGAATGAAAGGTACACATGAAAAGGATCCATTTCAGAGGACAGAGATCCAGCAATCCATTCCAGAGCAGCCTGTACCTAGACACTATTTTTGCATTTCTCTGGTCAGGGATGTAAATATCCCTGTCCAGAGGTAGCCACGTGGCACTTCTAACGCTCTGCCTGAGTTTTTCAGCACTGATACTCTGAACAGAAGTAGCAGCCTTTCCTTCCACGAACAAAATTAACGAAGATAGTTCCAGTTGTTTGTTCTTCCTGCCTCCTCCTTGTCAGAATCCATTCATACCACTAAACTGTCAGCCGAAGCTCAAGTGCTGTGAATCTTAAGTGGAGGGAGGCCCCTCCTGGCTGCATCGAGTAAGGCACCCAAACCCTGCAGCAGAGAGATGCAGGATTCCTGTCCAAAACATCTTCCTAGTTTCAGCCACTGCTTCTCGGCCAGTTTCAGCAGCTCCACGCATAAAGGACAGGAAACAGAGACAACTCAAAGCTATGGAATCCACCCCACGAGCAGGAGCAGTGTCAAAGACACCTTTCCAATATGGACATGGGTAGAGCAGGAGTTGAAATTAAAGCAATGTGCAGTTTTATTTGTGTTGTTTAAAACTAAATCCTAGAGGTAGTGAAGACTCAGGTGCAATTCCAAAGTCACTTCATATACACACGAAAGCAGAGTAGCCCCTACATAAGCAGAAGCATTAATCCCACGTAAAATGTAGCTAAGGATGTCATCAAGTCCATGCAGTGGGATCCAAGCTTCAAAACACAAAAGTAGTTGCAACCTATTGCTGCAACAGTGTCTTCAGTAAGAAGAGGGACTTATAGCACTGGAAGGCAAAACTGTATGTGCAGTTGAGAGGAGTAACAGTTTTTTCCTGTCCTTTCTTCATTTAAAGAGACAGGCACTGATGTCAGCCAGAGTTTAACTTATTTTAGGATTTTTCAGATGAAAAAACACAGCTCCTCTCTAACATCAATATCACAGAAATTACAGGAAACTTTTCAGGAATGTGAGATTATCCCACCTCTGTCATTCAGGACAACAAAAAGAACCACCAGGAACCTCATCCGCATTTAGAGATGGTCTAATAAAAAATAAAAAGGAAAAAGTGTCACAAAATCCACGCTTGTTTCCAGTTTGCTGGTGTTAAAGAAAAACAAACCCTAGGGCTCAACCCTCTTCAATTCAGATGCTAAAGGAACACACGTACACCTTTGTTGCTAAGAACAGAAGGCGTTTTCTGCTTCTGAGTCTCAAGGTCTGCAGTTCACTTTTTATTATCCTGTTCCTTTGCTCTTAGCAAAAACACACCCAAGCCTAACACTGTGACCATGTCCACTTTTACTGGAAAAAGGGCAAAGGATTTTAAAGGAAGTGATCTTTTACAGCCAGCCTCCCCCCACCAGCCCACCCAAATCCATTTTCTGCAACTTGTACGCATCTTATTTTCACCATTTGTAAAAGAAGTCCTACCAACCCTACCAAGTATGTGCCTTAGCTGATGAGGCTATTTAACTAAGCAAGGGGCTTTTGGAAAGCTGAGGTAAAGATTCAGTAGAAAACAGCATCAGTAGTGAAAACACTTGAGGGAACACATTGGCTCTTCTGATCTGGACAGCTTTGCAATACAGTAATAACATGTCGCTACACCAAAGCTGCTTTTTCTACTGTTAGTCAAGACACAAAAATGCAGCCCTTGAGCAAACCGTGACCATTACATTTAAGCAAGAACCAGAAAAAGAGAAGCGCCCAAAAAATGACCACCTTCTTTATGCTTAAGTTGGCTACTACTTGAAATCATCTGTTGATTTCTGTCTTGTTAGGTTGTTGTTACTCCACAGGTTCTAGGCTTAGAGCTCATTTGTTGCAATTTAGAGTTTCCCTGCTACTAAATTTGGTTTAAGGCAACCCCAGTTCCAAAAAATAAGCTTATGATTATTTAGTGTTACAGCTGCAGAAGCAGGAGGCACAACTGTAAGTCTGCCAACTAATGCAGCCTGCACTAAGTGTTTCGAACCACAGAGAGAGGAACTCCTAAAGTAAAATAGGAGTTATGGAAGCCCACTGCAGACAGAGCATCTGAGAGTTCTGGTTTTAGTTCTTCCCTCTGCCAATGCAATCTCTGTAAGACTAATACCCATCAGGAGTTTGGAAGCATGCTTTACAAGAACATTACAAGACCAACAAGTCAGCTGTTGGAGCTCAGTGTTTTCTCTCCTGATGTCATCAACCCAACACTGTCACCATCAGCTTCATTTGGCTGCACACAAACTGAGTACCAGCCGCACGCAGTTGGAAGTTTAAACATGTAGGACACAAAAGAAATCCTTTATGTCTGTATTCAGATAATTAAGCCTGCAATTCTGCAAAATGAGTTTCCCCATATAATGAAAAAACAGTCAATTATTTGAAAAAAGCTTAAGTTATGCCTGAAATAGAAATTGTTACAGGACTGTACATGAAGTATGGTGTTAGCATAACTACTCTGTACATATGTTCTTAGCCCACAAACACTATGAAAGGCACTCGATTAATGCTGCTAAATTAGTAAGTGATAATTTTACTATAGTATGAAAGCAGAAGAGCACCACAGGAGGAAAAGATGGCTCAGCAGCTCTACTATTCACCTAGCCTCTTGATAAAGTATACATTATTACAATGGTATACTTGTATAATTACTTACAGCAAGGCACCAAAAATGTTGGCTATTTGGAAAAGGGAAGAGGTGTTTTTTTGTGGATTTTATTGTTCTTTTTTCTTTTTTTTCCTTCTCTCAAGAGGTATACAAACGGAAAAAACAGAAGAGAAAACAGTTAAATGTGTTAACACTTACAGACTGGCTAAACAGAGTGAAAAAAGGCTACATAAAATGCATGGTGGAGGGAACCAGCCCCAAGATATGATGAGGTTTCTCTGCAAAGCACTGAGTTCTCAGAGCAATTTGAGTTTTCTTGGAAAGCATGTGCTGTAGCTACACATGCTGTAACAAGTATGAGATGGCAAAAGCCAAAAAGAAAAAACAGCCTAGAAACCTACCATATGCACTGCTTGAACTTCCTTTGTCAGAGACTTTTGGAGATTACATCTACACTCTTTTCAAGGGCTTGGAAGAATAGAAGAGAAATAGCTGCCATAAAAGAGCAGACACCTTGTAATGATATCCAACCAGGCCCTCCTCCTGAGACAATTAAGACTTCCCAAGTGCTCATTCTCATAAGCCTAAGAGTGCTATGTTTCAGCTACACTACATTAAACATGCAGTCCCACGGCAACCTCGGTCTCCCTGATCTCAAGGAAACACTAGCAAGGGTTCAGGACTAGCTTACCTATTGCTGTTGACAGGAAAAGGACTGTAGGCTACACGACTCAATCAACTCAATCCTCAAAGCCTAACAATGACCCAGGAAAGAAAAGGTTTTCCCCTTCTCATATGCTACCTCTTTCCCATCAGTATGTTCACTGTACTGTAAATACTAATCACAGAAGTCTGACGTGTTAGAAAATTGCTATATCTTAGCTGCAGCTTCAAAAAGACAATATGCCTATCAAAGCACGTTACTTTGTTCCCAAGCAGCAATATTTTGGTGTCTCAAACATACCTACCACCTTCAAACCATAGAATGTGCTGAGTTGGGAGGGACCCACAAGGATCACCAAGCCTAACTCCCAAGCAATGTAGCCGCCTCATTCCTCCTGCACATCCCTGACAGGTATTGGGAAGCAAGGGGAAGGATGTGGAGACACAATGCAATCCCTGCCACAAATGAGGCCTGACAGACAGGACTCTGCTTTTGGGGATGACTTCATTTAAGGGAGAGAGTGGAAGGAATTCAGTAAGGGTGAAAGAACTTCCAGAAAGCTCCAGGGCAGGTGCCCAGTGAGGAGCACCATGGGCACACACTTACTTCTGAGAGGCTGATGCCATGAGTGCCGCTGCCGCTGCCTGCTGGGCCTCAAACTCCTCCCGCTGCAGCACATCCTTGGAGCCGATGAAGCCGAGCCTTGCCAGCTGCCGTGCCACCTCCTCGCTCTGCGGGAGGAAGAGGGATGTGGTCAGGGAGCAGTTTCAGCGCTGGACCCCAACTGCCCCCACTGACAACTTGAGCTGCAGGGACGCAGCTCTGCTCTGCACCCAGAGGAACCACCTCCCAGCAGGCCCCCACACTACCCTGCAGACATTCAGGCAAGCAGAGAAGGGCTCCTTGGCCCTTCCTTAGCTAGATAAAGTAATTGGGCAAAGCTGAAGGCAATCTGCCCAATACACCTGTGAAATCAGCTGCACCAAGGCAGGCAGGGCCGCAGGTAACCTGTGGGCTGTGCATCACTGGAGCCTAAGGAAGACCCAAAGGTACAGCTCTGCACCACCTCACCAAGAGGCCTTAGGCACTCTGTGTTGAATACCACCACAGATGCTGGCAGATCCAAGACTCATCGGTCAGCAACAAAGGAAGCACAGCAGCTGAAGGCCCACAGGTTCCTTCCTGCATTGTTCCTTCCTGCACCTCACCTCAGGAAAGAACACGTGTCTTGCTTTTTATATGTCTGGCTGGAAAATGATTCCTGAGGTTAAATTAATCTCCACACAGCAGAGTAGCACTGATGAGTTCAGTGCTCAGGCAGTGAGGTATTTCCTCTCCAGGCTGAGGCACCTGATAAGCTGACAGGCAAAATGCCACAGGAAATACCTCCTGCCACTTCCACCCATCCAGGAGCTCTGGCCAACTTTTCAGGAGCTGCAGGAAAGCTGCCAGAAGAGGTCCAGGTTTCTTAGAGCCAAAAGAGGATAGGCAGGCCCTTTCTGAAAGCAAACCAGTAGGCAACGGTGACTGTTTTCAATACCTGTTACCTCTAAGCCTGTGACAGAAAACCTTTCGTGACTTAACCCAAAATGTTTTCCACTGAGCAATGGGCACTGTCATTTTTAGAGACCAAATATTCAGCGGTCAGCACCAGCTGAGTATCACCATGATGTGACTTGTTCAACCACGTGCATCCCTCGCTATGATTCAGGCTAGAAGTCATGCTTCATAAGCAGTGGACACAGCAAGATCTTCCCCGTTTTAGTTAAAAAAACAGTGCAGCAGTGGCTCAAAGGCAGCACTGCACATCAGAGCCAGCCCCATTGCGTTCACCTCATGTTGTACTTCCAGACAGAGGGGCATTTCTTGCTGTCTTTGGCTGCTCTGGGTGGACCTCAGCTACCAAACTGCTGCTCACACAACAGGCTTTCTGGCCATGACCTGCAACTTGAGGCTTGCTTCTGAGCTCCCAGAGCTTCTGCTGCACACGTGAGCTCTGCTGCCACGTCCCATGCTCCGCTTCAGACTGAATTCAGCCCAGTTTGGGGGCTTACCTGCACACAGCGGCCGCACCACCTGCAAATGGCTCACGCTGAGAGGAGCGGGGCAGTTACCAGACACCAAGCACCTCGCCCAGCAGCATTTTGCCAGCCCACCTCCCCTCAGGAGCCGAGCGCGGCTCCTCCACACACCCCCCACACACCCCCCGGGACCCTTCTGCCCGCTCCCGGCGCCTACCTCCAGGTAGTAGAGGTCCCTCGGCGTCACCTGCGCCTCCAGGTACTGCTCGTAGGAGCCGAAGGGCTGCTCCGCCGGCTGCTCCTCCGGCTCCTCCGGCTCCTCAGGCGGCTCCTCCAGCGGCTGCTCCGGCGGCCCCTCAGCCATCGCGCCCTTCCCGCCCGCCGCTGTGGTAACGGCCGGCGCGAGGACGCCCCAACGGCCGCCGGCGGCACAGGGAGGGGTGAGGCTGGTCGGTGCCCTTGCGCCTCTACCTTTTCTTATTTTGGGGCTTTTTTTTTTTTTTTTCCATTTTGTCTTTGTTTTTTACTTTTTTTCTTTTTTTTTTTTTTGCATTTTTCTTGCTTCTTTTTGCTGTTTTTCCCTCGTTTGTTTTTTTTTTGTCTTTTGCTTTTTCCTTTTTTGCTTTTTTTTCTGCTTCTTCCTATTATTTTTTCTTTTATTTTTTCACCTTCTCCCCCTCCATTGCACTTTTTGCCCTTTTCCCTTTTTTCTTGCCTTTTCTTTATCCTATTCCTTACTTTTTTGCCCTTTTCCTCTTTTCTTCCTTTTTTTTTTTTTGCTTTCTGCCCTACTTTTGTGTTTTTCCTTTATTTTTAATTGTCCTTTTCCTTTATTTTCCTTTGCCCTTTTGCTTTATTTTTTCTTTCTTTTGCTTTTTTTTTTTCATTTCAGTTTTTTCAGCACTTGTTTGCGTCACGCTTTGAGCTGACATTCGCGAGCCTCTCTCCATGCAGTTCCGTGCCTAATGAATGTCTGAAGCCTTTTTATATCTGCAAAGGCTGCGGTAAAAGATGACTCAGAAAGCAAAGGGAAGAGGAGAAAAAAAAATAAAAAAATCGAGTTTTAGGAGTCGGTGCACATTGTGCAATAGCACCGTCTGCAGCCTTGCTGACAAAGAGCTCGAGGCATCATGCAAGAGTCCTGCAGCGGGTGAGGTGCAGCAGGGCACGTGTCCCGGTGCCCTTTGCAGGGCTGCCTGCAGCATGGCTGCTCATTAACCCCAGGCTTGGGAGGCCAGGCAGCTCTGTGCCCCTCGCAAAGGGTTCAGATGCAATTGCCAGCTGCAAACAAAAGCACAGCAAGGCTGACAAGGCTTGTGAAACGCAAGAAGGTTGACACACTCAAAAAGTTACCTTTATTGCTTAAAACTCTCTCAAGTCAGCTACAGACTGCTTTTAGTTTAACAGAGGTATTTACCCATCTATTTTCACCTTGTCAGCCTCCTTCTGACCAGCAAACCCGTTTGGGACCAGGAGGGGTTTTCAGCCCATCCTGCTCACATTAACCTGCAACAGCTTCGCTGCCAGTGCTGCCACACCACGCTCTTCCTTACAACACCACCACCACATTTAAATTAATGAATGAAGTGCAGGGTGAGGCCCTGGTAGGAGAGCAGAGGTTTTATGGTTCCCCACAGGTTCAGCATAAATGTTTTCCAGGTGTGTGCAGACCAACTCTGATCAGTGTATCCACGGGGCTGCACGTCTGCAAATGGCCGTCCTCCCCCTAACAGCCTTTACAAAGAGATATATTATTGCCAACACAGTTCCAAAACCCTCTGGCACTTGAGAGTTACTGGACGTAACTCTTGTACGAAAATGATTGTCGACAGCATCACCAGCGAAAACGGTGCAAGAAAACACGTCCGAGGCGGAGGCCCCTCATGGCTTCCCTCAGCAGCAGCAGAGCAACGCCTGCGCCTCACTCCCCATCCACGACAGCAGCGCCCACTCCGCTCCACCAGTGCCCCCACATCCATCCCATCTGGGAATGGGGAGGGGTACCGGGCTCCGCTCCTCCCCAAAAATCCCCCACAGCCTCCTTGTGGCACGGCTACCCGAAGCGAAACTTGAGGCGGTACTTGACAGGGCCGTGGCTGTGCCGCGGTGGGGTGGCCGCTGCCGTTTTCTTTGGTGGTGGTGGCGGAGGAGGTGGTGGCGGCTTCTTCTCGGGCCGGGTGACGGTGAAGGCCAGCTGCGGCGGGGGGGGCTGTCGGAAACGGGGCAAGAAGTGTGTGGAGACGTGCTGGGGGCGGGCGCGGGGGCTGCAGCCCCGCTTGGCCTTGCCCCGCTTGTTGAGGGCCACGTACCACTCGCGGCCCGAGCGGCGGCCGCGGTGCACGGCCGAGGCGTAGGTGTTGTAGCTGTTCTCCTGGAAGCGCTCCCGGAACTGGCACTCGGATGTGAAATGCGCCTGTGGAAAGCAAGGGGGGGACACAAAGATGGGTTAGCACCGCCATCGCTCTCCCAAACCGCTCCAAGCACAGTGGACACCCCGCAGTTTTGGCCTCTGGCCCGAGGACCCCAAAGCCCACTCCATCTCCTCGCACACATCACTCTGGCACCAAACCTGTGCCTGATAGCCTGTGAGGGCAGCTGTCATGCGGGTTGTAATTGCATTGGAGTTATTTATAACCCCCATTTTCTTCTGAAATCAACTAGGGTCATTCTGCCCAGTGCTATCTGTAAAACAATCACAACATCGCCCGCTGTAAATGGGGCTGCACAGTCCCCCAGGATTGGGGTTTTGGGAATAAGGCAGCCCACCGCCACAAACCATCAGCTCTACTCCTTGCCATCCCAACAAAATGAAGCATTTCTCATGCAAGTTGGCAAAGAAGCAGGTTTAGGGGCTGCCAGGTGAGCAGGCACAGGGGTAAGGTGTTTGACTGCAGCCACATCTCCAGAAGAAAATGCAAGGCACATTGAGCAAGTCCTGACCCCGATGACCCAAAGGTCCATGGGGCTGGGATGGATTTTCAACTCCTAATTGAACCAGAAAAGTTGAACCTTACAATGCAAGGCACAGAATCCCAGCACGCAGTACATTTTTCCCCCCGTAACACCTTGAATTAAGACTCCTTTCACTCTTTGCATCAAAGAAATGTGATCCTGGCAACTTTCGGTTGCTTTCCCTTCTTTTTATAACCCATGGTGCTGCACCGCTCATGCACAACCATCCCCCTTCTGGACACAGCTTTGCTCACACCAGCTGCTCTGCGATGCCCTGACAGCCACAGCGATGCTCAGGCGAGATAACTGCATTGCCCACACCACAGGGAGGTTTTAGGTCTGACCCAGGCACTTCTCCTGGGAAGCTGCGAACCCAGAGAGCAATTTTCAGAGCAGCCCAGAGGCCCGCAGGCATGGTGTGATCCGCAGCACAGCACAACGGCACCGGAGCGGCTCCCGCATCAAAGCGCAGCCGTGAGTGACGGGCGCAGGGCGCGCTTTGTGCTGCTGCGCACTCATTAGGCCATGAAATAACTTTATCCCACCGAGGCAGGGAGGAACAACAGATGCAGGCTTTGCATTATCGGTGTTATTCAGCCCAGCCATCTTCAGGCGTTTGGGTCAAGTTTCTACAAATTGACAGCTTTCATCAGTGTAGAGCATCGTGCGCCCTCGTCCCGCTGCTCATTGCCCTCACCAAGGTCGCTTCCACACTGCCCTGTCTATAGCAGCGATTAACCATGCATGGACGGGGTTTGATTTAATTTCTGCCTGCACCATGGCATGCCTTAAGACGTCGAGGGGAATAATGGGGCCATTATGAACTGCAGGGGAGGGTTGGGGACCATACTTGGCGATGCTTCCGTCTCATTTCATGTTTGCTTTGGTCTCATCTCATGTTTTCACTGTGTGTTTTGCCTGCTCCTCTCTACCTACACTGCTCCTGCTGTGCTCATTTTTCCCTGTTTTACCTTCACCCAGACATTCCCACTTTCCCCAGCCTCTCCGTCCAGTTCACAGAAATCAACAGCGACGCGCTCACCATTTCTGCATCATTAGGTTCCAGGAGCAATGCTCCGACAAAACTCGAGGGAGTTTTGCAAGCACATAAATACCACTTTATGTCAACTTGTGGGCTTGTGCATCCCGAGCACATCGCTAACACCCACATCTCGGCCGTGAGGCTGGGCTCACCCCCACAGGGCAGGCAGCCACGCTTCCCGCAAGCCATTGCCCTCGGCCCTGCAGAGCCCTCCCGGCAGCCGCAGGTGCCCCGGAGCAACGCTGCCGCACACACGTGTGTGTGTGCAGCTGTCGCAACGCCGTCAATACGCAGTATGTACTGATAATCAGGGGTTTACTTACACTTGCATGGAGTTTTCCTTTTTTTGACATCGCTAAAAATTTGTTGCTGAAAACTCCTCGTATTCCTACAATCCCCTGAGACACAGCAAATATTTCCAAAATACCTAGGATGACAGAAATCCCAAAATAAATCACAGTTCTCTCCACAACAGCATGACAAAATTAAAATAAAAATAAAAAATAAAAAGCTCGCGTTTGCATTTCACCTCCAAAAGACCCTGCTCCTCAGTAACCTGCCTCTGTGCAACACAGCTGCTTGTTCACTCATAAAAACCTGCATTTACTCCAGTACTGCTATCAGTTTTGTCCTATTATTATTATTTTTAGCTGGCGGGAGCTGTGCCCTAAGCTACAAGCCCGTGATGAACAAAGCAAAGGGCTTTGAGGATGAGGATGCTTTTTTGCAAATAACCAGGGGTGCCTTGTTTCCCAGCCAGCCCCACGGCTTCACAAGTTCTGCCAGTGTTGCTGGGCCCTCATGAGATCCACAGCACCAGGAAAAACTCTTTTTCCCCCTCAGATTTCTCACTTGTTTCAGAGCCAAGTACAGCCACACAAGTTGGTCTTGCCCGCGCTGGTGCTGGGGGGTTTGCAAGGAGCTGTGGTTTAGGGGGTGATTTCAGCCTCAGCTGTGACAGAACAAGCTCCCACCTGGGGAAATCCCTCATTTTGGGTGCTGGCCAGCAAGCCTTGACTGCCACAGCTCAGATCTCCAAAATCTGGGCAGTGGGCAAGGGCAAGAAAGGAAGCCACAGGAGCATGGAGCCCCGCATTTCTGCAGCCAGACTGCTGCCACCCGCCTCACCCCAACTCCTCACAAACCTGGATGTAGAAGAGCATGCTGGATTTGGGGCTGAAGCTACCACCAACACCAGTTTTTCCCTGAAGCTCCCCACCCTAGGAGGGCACGTGGGACCCATAGCTCATCCCACAGCAGGGCCAACCATCGCTCCTCACCGCCACCGACATGTTTCGCTCCCCTGCACAGTGTCATTGTCCCCTTGGCACAGGTGTCCCAGCATGTCCCCACCACCCGATGTCCCCTCCTGTCCTCTTACCGACACCACGGCTCCTCGGGGCACACAGCGGCTGCTCCCAGGGCTCTGTTTTCCCCCTGGGACAAAGTGGCCCCGGAGGAAGGAGTGCAGGGATTAACATGCCGAGAGAAAACACGACGCCACACTTAAGCCCCCGGCCCCGTGGTATCGGATCTCCGCCACTTCCCATGTTTATTTTAAGGAGGAAGTGAGGCTCCCACAGGCCCCACACACCAAGGGGCACCTGCTGGGGGGTCGGTGGCATTGTCCCCATGCCCATGGGGCTGCACCTCGATGCCACGAAGCGCCATCAGCAGCACATGCCTGCGACCCACATCCCACAGCGCGGGCCCGAAGGCCACAAGTGACTGGCTCCCACGGCTCCGCCAGCCATGGGGCAAGGGTGGAAGAGTGGCCAGGTGGAAAAAGGGGGCTTGGGGGGCGAGCGCGGCGCGGCACCCCCCCGTCCCCTGCACTCACTGAGCGGGCTGGCGTCGTGGGCGCCGTCCACCCGGCCGTCGGGGTGCAGCTGCAGGTGGAAGCCGATGCCCACCCGGCAGTACAGCCGGCCCCGCCGCCGCCCCGGGCGGCTCCGAGGGAAGCGGCTCGGCCCCGCGGCCCAGGAGGAAGAGGAGGAAGAGGAGGAAGAGGAGGAGGTGGAGGAGGAGGAAGAAGGAGCGGGGGCGCTGCGTCCCGCCTGCGCCCCGCTGGGCAGCCGCTCCCGCCGGGCTCGGGCGGGCAGGAGGAAGAGGAGGAGGAGGAGGAGGAGGAAGGCCGGGCTCATGCTGCCGGCGGGAGGGAGGTGGAGGAGGAGGAGGAGGAGGAGGAAGGGCGGGAGGAGGGCGCCGCATCCCCGCTCCGCCGCCCAGCACCGGCGGCAGGGGGCCGCCCCTCCCGCCCGCTGTGTGCGCCCGGGGGGGCACCGCACCTGTGCGGAGCCCCGAGCCCCCAGCCCGGGCTCGGGGGGTGCGGGGCCGCCCCCCATAGACCCACGCCCTCCCCCATGGACCACCCCACCCCACCCTCCCCCAGCCGGGGCTGCGCCTCGGGTTACGGGGGGGGAGCGGCTGCGAGCCCCGGGGCTCCTCCGGGGCACGGCGGCGTTGGGTTGCAGCCCCGCCGGGAGATGACAGCCGGCAGCTGCGCCTCCGCCAGGGCTGGGGGCTGCCAGAGAAGCCCCCTCCCCTCCCTTCTCCTCCCTTCCCCTCCCTCCTGTCTCATCCCACACCAGGCCCTGAGGCTGAGCCCGGCGCTGGGCAGCATCCCCGGGGGGCTCGCAGCGAGCCCCTCGCCCCCAAGAGCATCTTCGTTGCCACTGCCTGTGTCAGCACCCAGCAGCCCTCCCTTCCCAATTCCCAACATTTGGGAACAGCATCCACGTGGCCTCCCACTGACAGTGCCATGTCCCCAAGACATGCCCCAACCCCAAGACTGACTCCATGCCCCACCAGCCAGATTTCTTCCCAGCAGAAAGGCATCCATCGCTGGTGCCAACATCCCCCTTTCTCCCTCTCCGGACTCCCAAAAAATCTTTCTTCCATCCCCAAAAAGCTATCAGAAAAATCTTGCCTCCACACAAGCCAACACCTCCACACCCTCCCAGCCTCATCACTCACATAAATCAGCATTTTTCCAACCAAATACCCCCCAAATCCTGTCTGGAGCCATCAGCGGGGTTTGGGTTCGGCAGGAAGGAGGCTGAGCCTCCGGCATGCCTCGCGAGGAAGCTGAAGGTCGCACACGGCACGGGCTGGTGCGGGCGGGGTGATCCTGCAGCCACGCACGGCAGCTCAGGATATAATATATTTATATGCCCGTACGGATACGCGTGTTTATATATATACACATGTGGATAAATATAGATGTCCCTAAATATAGATGCACATACCTGAAGGAAGGTCAAAAGCTCATTTACTCCTTCCAGCTGTAGCAGTCGGCCCCAGAAAGCACACTGCCTGCACTCAGTGACCCACCGTGGGCCTGTGGGGGCTGCGAGCATCCTTTTGGGGTCCAGGGGTTACACAGACCCCACAGGGAGCTGTCGGATGGTGATTTCCCCTTGCGAGCATTTCTGTGAGGCTGAGCGGTGCCCATGCAGTGGAGAGAAAAAGAAAAAAAAAGAAAGGGAAAAAACAAAAAAAAAAAAAAAAAAGGAAGGCTTGAATCTAAATAAATAAATAACCCTAATAGCTCACTTCCTGGAATAATCCAATTTAATTGCCTTTGGCAGTTGCAGCCCTTCCACACACACACACACCAGCAGCCTCTGAAAGCTGACGCGATGCTACCTAAATTATTCAAGGCTTGGTTACAGAGCAAACTGGAGGCAAACGGAGGGGATAACAGGGTGCTGGTGCGAGCTGCGGTGCCTGGAGAGGAGGGCTCTTGGTTAAAAGTAAGGCAAAAGTCTTCAGAAGTGAGCAGGAGCCTCTGCTGGAAAACAGACAGGTGCACTCCAGCAGTTGTCAGAGCAGCGCCGAGCTCGACAGCAGCTTTCCCCGTTGGCCTGGTGCTTGGTGTGCGCTTGTTGTACGCCCGCTGCCGGTACCTCAGGAATATTTCCCCCTCCCCGAGCGAGACGTTTGCAATTTCCCTGCCAAAGCAGGAGCACGCCGAGCATCCAGCGAACCACACGGCTCGCCCCTTCTTATGTACTCAGAGCTGCAGGGCTCTCTTTTCGGGAGCTGGATGCTACAAGGGGGGCTCCGTACTCGATTTTCCACCGCCACCGGCGTGCCCAGCGCCAGCCTGGCAGCCACGCGTGGTTCTTCTACCAGCCGGAGCCCGGAAAGGGCAGAGGAGAGCCACAACGGGCAGAAAGTGGACGCTTATCCCGCTCCTGGGAAGGCCAGAGGAGGGAGGCCAGAGGAGGGAGGCTGAAGAAGGCCCCTCCTCATCCTCGGGGCTGCCCGGGGCTGGAGGAGAGGCTGGAGCCCCGCTAGGTGGCAGTGCCCGCCCGTGAGCGGCCCCGGGAGCATCCGGACATCCCAAATCCCCCCCCAGCACCTCCAGCAACGGGAAAGCCCCCCTGAGCGGCTGGGCGCTCATTAGGGAGCGCTGAGGAGCCGCGGTAATTAAAGCACAATTAAGCGCGGGGAGGCGGGGCTGGGCGCGCTCCCGGGATGGACGCGTCCGGCGGGGCCGGAGGTTTGGGAAAAAAAGGAGGAAAAAGCAAAAAAGAGCAATCAAAATACACTTCATGGGACAAAAAAGTCCTTCTCGCCCTGGAGGGAGTCTCCCAGCCTCCCAGAGCCCCCCACACCCCAGCCGAGCCCCCAGGGCGACCCCCCAGCTCCCCCACCTGCGTACACGGGGTCTGGGCACCGCCGGGGGGAGAAGGGTCCCGGTGGGGCGAGGTGCGGGGTGGGACGGAGCTATGGGGGCTGGGGGTGTGGGAAGGGCTGGGAAGGAAAAGGGAAGGAGAAAGGGGAAGGGGAAAAGCCAAAAGAACGGAGAAAGGAAAAGGGAGAGAGGACACAGGAAAACGAAAAAGCGAAAAGCACAGCGGGGAAAGGGGAAAGTAAAAACGGAATAAGAAAGAAAGAAAGGAAAAAGGAAAAGGAAAAGGAAAAGGAAAAGGAAAAGGAAAAGGAAAAGAAAAAAAGAAAAAGAAAAAAAGAAAAAGAAAAAGAAAAAGAAAAAGAAAAAGAAAAAGAAAAAGAAAAAGAAAAAGAGGAAAGGAAAAGGGAGAAAGAAGAAATTAAAGAAAATTAAAAATATGAAAAAAAAAACTTAGAAAGGAAAAAGTAGAAAGGAGAAATCAAAAGAAAAAAATAAAGGAGAAGAGAAAGCGAAAAAGGAAAAGAGAGAAAGAAAAAGGAGAAAAGAGAAATTAAAAGAATAAGGGGAAAAGGAAAAGGAGAAAGGAAAAGGAAAAAAAGGAAAAGGAAAGGGAGAAAGGAAAAGGAGAAAATGAAAAGGAAAAGGAGAAAAGGAAAAGGAACAGGAGAAAGGAAAAGGAGAAAAGGAAAAGGAGAAAGGAAAGGGGAAAGGAAAAGGGGAAAGGCAAATGAAAGGAAAAGGGAGACAGGAAAAGAAGAAAGGAAAAATGAAAAGAAAATGGAGAAAGGAAAATGGAAGGAAATTTAAAAATATGTAACGGAAGGAAGCAATAGAATATTCCTTCTATATATAAAGAAGAATATAAAGACAGTAGAGAGAGAAAAGAGGAAAACGGGAGCGGTGGGAGAGAGAGAAGAAAAGGAAAACAGAGAGAAAATGGATGGAAAGAAGGAAAGAGAAAGAGGAAATAAAGAGAAAGAAAAAAAGGAAAAATAGAAGGAAAAAAAATAAATGAAAGAAAAAATGAAAGAAATAAAGAAAAAAGAAAGAAATAAAGAAAATTAAAGAAATAAAGAAAATTAGAGAAATAAAGAGAGGAGGAAAGGAAGAATGCGGTTCAGACCGAAACGAAGGAGCGGGCAGGCACGGCAGGACCGAGAGGGGAAGCAGCGAGCGGCGAGCGCGGGGCGGTGCGGGGCAGCCGCGGGGCTGCGGGGGGCGAGGACCTGGACCGGGACGGGGACCACGACCCCAGCACCACGACCCCAGCACCATTCCCCCACCACCATCACCACCACTCCACCACCACCCCGGCGCCGAGTAACGTGCAGCCGCGTTGAAGAAAATAAAGTCATTTATTGTCAAAGCATCCAACATACCCAGATAAACTATAAAGTTTAATAAATCTTTTCCAGGGGGTGCGTGTGGCGGGGGAAGAGGGGATGAAAAGAAACACGGAACTATTGAGACTCCATTTCACGGGCACGAAGTTACACGCGGGGGCGGGCGGCGGGGGCGAAGGGGGCGGCGGGCGGGCGGCGGAGCCCGGTGCAAGCGGAGCCCGGTGTGAACGGACCCGGTGCAAGCGGAGCCCGGTGTGAACGGACCCGGTGCAAGCGGGGTCCGGTGCAAGAGGACTCGGTGCAAACGGAGCCCGGTGCAAGCGGAGCCCGGCGCAGACGGCGCCCGCCCCGCCGCCCCCCGTAGCTTCATATCTAAAATAAAAATTTACCCTGACATAGAATTATTCTTACACCTAAACCATAAGTGCTCAATAATTTAAGTAGAAACGTATGACAAATGCATCAATATGTTGCAATATATGACATTTTAAACAATGTACTCGTAAGCCGCCGCCTCCGCCGCCCCCCGCCGTGCCCCCCGCCGTGCCCCCCGGCTAGTTGTGCGAGGTCATGTGGCGGGAGAGGTGGTGCCGCTCTCGGAAGGACTCGTTGCAGATCGGGCACTTGAGCTTCTCCTCGCGGCGCCGCTTGACCAGGGGCTCCAGCGCGTACTCCTTCTTGTGGTGGGAGCGCATGTGGTACACCAGGTCCGAGGTCATGCGGAAGGAGGCGTTGCACTTGGCGCACCAGTTCTGCGCCGGCAGGCACAGCGACGTGAACGACGGCGGCAGCAGCGTCAGCGCCGACGGCAGCTGCAGCTGCAGGGGCCCCGCCGCCGCCGCCGCCACCGCCGCCGCCGCCGAGCTCTTGGGCCAGAAGGCGGTGGCGTAGAGGAAGGGGCTCTGCTTGGGCAGCCCCCCGCCGCCCCCCGGGCCGCCCCCCGGGCCGCCCCCGGGGCCGCCGCCGCCGCCCGCCGCCCCCTCGCCGCCGCCGCCGGGCAGCTTGACGGCCAGCGCCTCGGCGGCGTACAGGCGGCCAGGGGCGGCGGAGGAGCCGTCGGGGCACGGCTCGCCCAGGCCGCCCAGCTTCTGGCCCAGCACCAGCGGCGGCCCGTGAGGGAAGGAGCGGGCGGGCTGCGAGAAGGCGCTCTTGCGCTCCTCCGCCCCGCCGGGGCCGCCGCCGGGGCCGCCGCCGAGCTGCGGCACGGTGCTGAAGGCGCTGCCCCGCGCCGGGCTGCCCCCCTCCAGCCGGGCGCCCAGGGGGCCCCCGGAGCCGCGGGGGCACAGCCCCGGCTCCCCCCCGCCGGGCCCGGGTCCCCCCGTGCCCGTCCCCGGGGGAGAAGCGCGCTCCTGGCCCTCCTCGGCCGCGCCGTCGGGCTCGGGGCCGC